TCGATTGATCACTTGAGGATTGCGTGATTCTGCGTGACCAATGATTCAACCTGTCACATCTCGGAGGGTCCAACAGAGGCAGATAAAACACATCACAACAATACAACGGATTAATGTGACAGAACATCAGAGAAGTATCCTGGTTATCGAAGAAAAATCTTGTCTATTCCAGTACTATATCTTCGGAACGGGAGCGGTAAGGGGGAGAAGGGTGCTTTATAATGCCTGGGAGGGGGGTGGGGGTGGGTTCCCACTGGTTCCTATTCGGGAGAGGACGCTTATTTCTGTTATTTGAACGTAGGAGCTAATTAAAGGAAGTACGGTGACCGTTTCTGATATTTGACCAGTAATAGCATGTTACGTGGTAAAAAAAAAAAGGTTTTAGAATCTCTAATCTCCTTTTACAAAAGTAATACAATTACACATTCTGTACCACTTTAGGTCAAGTTAAAGTAAAGTTGAAAAAAGGTTTGACTGGTTAACACAAGTTTCACTGAAGTAAAAAAGATTCTCAACAACTCGATGAGGCATGTTCACTATGATGATTAAATCAAAACTTTGAACCAATATGCTCGCTAAAAGTGAGAGGAACATATGAAATCACATTGCTTTGAATGACTGAATCCCCCCTTTCAGATTTCAAAATTCACATAATTATCACAAGAGAAAAAAAGAAAAAACTAAACAGCCCCTCTCCGAAATTATGGACTGAACATGTTTCCAGACACTGTAAACGATAAAGTTTAAAGCTAAGAAACCAAGAACTACGACAATGGATGGTTCAAAAAAATACTTTATTTCTAAAAAGAACTTTAATGGTATGAAATGTAATAAATAAAGGGAAATTGAAAACTCTTTGTACTTGCAAAGTGTGTGAGCAGTTGAGGTGCCAGCCATAAATGGAAGTTGCTAAAAATTCGTAGAGCTGTAACCTTTCACCTTCAAGACAAAATGAAATTATTTACAAAATCTCGAGTTCAACAAATTTGAACTCAAGTAACCAAATTATTTACACATCACAAGTAAAATCGTGATAAACTGGAAAAGGAACCAGATGCCTGCAATGAGTTAGGAATGCCTCACAAAAGTTTTCCACACCTTCTTATGTATCATATGTAACAAGAAAACAAGGTTTTGAACCTGTTGATGATCTCAACCCTTCAATTTCCAGGAGTGATTAAAATAGAATTTATCCGTACAATATCAATTACAAAGTCACAAAGGCAAGTGGTGAGAATCAAGAAAAATTTAAATTAGTGGTTGATCCTATACCAAATTCTCTGAACTAACATAACCAGAATTATATAGCAGACAGAAAGGTGAATTTCTTTTGATCAGAGATCTTGGGAGTGGAAGGGCCAAAAACCTGTTTTCTTTGCTTTCTATCAAAAGATGGACACAGAATTCACTTGATTATTCTATGTAAAGCAGGTCAAATTCTAACCACAATTAAGCAGTTTCAATGTACAGTTGTAACTTAACAAAACTCTTTAGAAATTTCTTTCTTACTGTTCTTTCTTGACTACATATATATGTTAATTAATATCCATCTGTAGTAAACATTATCAACTGAAATAGAAAAAAATTTATCACAAAGAAAAGGACTTCAGTTAACATTCTCTATCAACCATCTTTAATGAAACATTATCTTGAGTTGGTGACCTAACTTGAGTTCAGAGATCATATCAGTTCAGGAACAATCCAACACTCTCGACAGAAGTATACTTCAACCTGAGTTTCAACCAAGCACATAACATTCACTGGATATTTTTCTAAGTGCCTGTGTCAAGACANATCAGAACAAAAAAATTATTTTTGTACAGAATGAACACTCTCCATTAGCTAACTGTTGATCAAAGTGAAATGAACCACTTCCAAGTAAACTCTACCAAGTATCCTCAAAATATTGTCCTTGCATTACTGCTGCTCTTACCTTTCAATCCCAGAGTGGTCAAAGTCACTGCTTCACAGAGTGTTCAACAAGATCAATAAGCCAGTGCTGGTTCTCCTTTTGAACTAAAACAAGTTCATGTCACTCTAATCCCTTTGCCAAAATTCCAGATCACATCCAGCCAGCCATCTTCTTCATCTCATTAAAGTTGGAGCATGTTTTGAACCCGGAGAACTTCAAAATCAGACCCTTGTTTCTAGTTGTATTAATACTGACAGTTTGTTTAGTTTAGCAGAGTTGTAGTTAATGTTGCTCTCTTTACCAAACCAAAGCTAGATCAGGTTTCCAAGATTCATCCCTGTGGTAACTGTGATCACAGACTAACCAAACATTTAAAAGGCACCTCTGATACTCACACCATTTATGAAAGAATAATAAATAATGTGCTGCTCTTTAAACCGAAGAACTCTCAGAGTTTGAATTTCTTTCACTGAAGACATTTACTTCCAGGCTAATTGAAGTTAAAGATGTGTCTCTTGCCAAAGCATAAGCCAGTTCATGTATCCAGTCTTCATAGAAGTTATTGTAGTCACCGAGTGTCAAGTTCAAGGTAACTATTGATGTATTTCTTACCAAAGCATCCATCAGAGCACAGAAAGATGAATTAGGCCTGTAACTGTGGTTGTTCAGTGTAAGACTAAGGGTGGTTAATGACTTGATATTCGCCAAACCATCAATTAGACCATCAGTCAGGTCTTCTTCAAAGGAAGAGTAGTTGTTGATTGCAAGGCTCAGTGTAGTTAATGACATGTATTTTGCCATCCGGTCACTCCGACCATTGATCATGCATCCCTTAAAGTCACTGTAGTTGTTGACTGCAAGGATCAGCGTAGTTAATGACATGTTTTTTGTCAACACGTCACTCAGATCAGAGATCATGGATCCCTCAAAGTTCCTGTAGTTGTTGAGTGTAAGGCTCAGTGTAGTTAATGACATGTTTTCTGTCAACACGTCACTCAGATCAGAGATCATGCATCCCTCAAAGTCCCTGTAGTTGTTGAATGTAAGGATCAGTGTAGTTAATGACATGTTTTTTGTCAACCCCTCATTCAGACCAGAGATCATGCATTCCTCCCAGTCACAGTAGTTGTTGAGTGTAAGGCTCAGTGTAGTTAGTGATGTGTTCTTTGCCAATCCACCACTCAGATAATCCACCAGGGGAATTCTGATTATCCAGCCACTCTGGATGTTCATTGTAAGCCTCAGTGTAGTTAGTGATGCGTTTTTTGCCAAACCGTCCCTCAGATCATTGGCCACCATTTTCTTCCATACCAAGCAGTCGTTTAAGGTAAGGCTCAGTGTAGTTAATGACGAGTTTTTTGCCAAACCATTCCTCAGACCAAAGGTTATGGGTTCACTCATAAGATACTGATTGTAGCTGTTGAGTGTAAGGCTCAGTGTAGTTAATGACTTGTTTTTTGCCGCAGCATCCCACAGAGCATCCATGTTTTTAATATAGTAATTGTTGTTAAATGTCAGACTCAATGTAGTTAAAGACTCACTTTTTGCCAAACCCTCACAGAGAGTGGATCCCCAGTCTCCACTGATGCTGTCAGGGTTCTTAACGCTCAAACTAAGCTTTGTTACACAGCCATCCTTAACTTTGGTAAGTACAGGTGTAAGTGACGAGGAATCATCAGCAGATAAACCAACTTCTCTGCAAATCTTGTCGCCTGAATATGAGTCACTAACATTTAATGCAAATAGATATGTTTGGTTGCGTGATAGCCTTTCAAGAGTGTTCTTTCCGTCCCCCATCAGCTCCCCCTGAATACTAATAGTCAACTTTGAAAGGGTTTTGAGTTTGTTCAAGTGCTTAAAAAGACAGTTAGCAACATTATCAGTTACTCTTTCCTTAAAATTCAAAGTGACACAAGAAACTGATGAGGCTATCAGTCCTTTGCAAAGATCATTTGCTCCACTGCAGTCTAACTCTCCCA